AATTTCCTAAAAAGTGTAAAAGATTGTTCAGTAGGATCGGCTCTAATGGTATTTCGTAATATATAGTGGATTTGTGGGTGCTTGTTTCGTGTATCAACTTTATTCCTGGCCAGCATAATAGACGCAGCCCTAGCGCTCCGCGCGCCCCCTTGCGATCCCACGCACACAAGTGCGTCTGTCTACTGCAGCAGCAGATCTCGCTAAGTTGATCTTATCGGCTATCGCCAATTAGGTACATCGCACAGGTGTAGGATATCGATAAGGGCATTCATCCCCACCCCGCTATTTTGCCATCATTTGCTAATCAAAGTGCGCAACATCGTTTCGACGCGTTTTTAAATCTCGATTTTGGCGAGCAATCCGTCTATAAAATTTCCTAAAAAGTGTAAAAGATTGTTCAGTAGGATCGGCTCTAATGGTATTTCGTAATATATAGTGGATTTGTGGGTGCTTGTTTCGTGTATCAACTTTATTCCTGGCCAGCATAATAGACGCAGCCCTAGCGCTCCGCGCGCCCCCTTGCGATCCCACGCACACAAGTGCGTCTGTCTACTGCAGCAGCAGATCTCGCTAAGTTGATCTTATCGGCTATCGCCAATTAGGTACATCGCACAGGTGTAGGATATCGATAAGGGCATTCATCCCCACCCCGCTATTTTGCCATCATTTGCTAATCAAAGTGCGCAACATCGTTTCGACGCGTTTTTAAATCTCGATTTTGGCGAGCAATCCGTCTATAAAATTTCCTAAAAAGTGTAAAAGATTGTTCAGTAGGATCGGCTCTAATGGTATTTCGTAATATATAGTGGATTTGTGGGTGCTTGTTTCGTGTATCAACTTTATTCCTGGCCAGCATAATAGACGCAGCCCTAGCGCTCCGCGCGCCCCCTTGCGATCCCACGCACACAAGTGCGTTTGTCTACTGCAGCAGCAGATCTCGCCCACCCCCACCCCGCTATTTTGCCATCATTTGCTAATCAAAGTGCGCAACATCGTTTCGACGCGTTTTTTAATCTCGATTTTGGCGAGCAATCCGTCTATAAAATTTCCTAAAAAGTGTAAAAGATTGTTCAGTAGGATCGGCTCTAATGGTATTTCGTAATATATAGTGGATTTGTGGGTGCTTGTTTCGTGTATCAACTTTATTCCTGGCCAGCATAATAGACGCAGCCCTAGCGCTCCGCGCGCCCCCTTGCGATCCCACGCACACAAGTGCGTTTGTCTACTGCAGCAGCAGATCTCGCCCACCCCCACCCCGCTATTTTGCCATCATTTGCTAATCAAAGTGCGCAACATCGTTTCGACGCGTTTTTTAATCTCGATTTTGGCGAGCAATCCGTCTATAAAATTTCCTAAAAAGTGTAAAAGATTGTTCAGTAGGATCGGCTCTAATGGTATTTCGTAATATATAGTGGATTTGTGTGTGCTTGTATCGTGTATGAACTTTATTGGTGGCCAGTGTAGTTCTCGCAGCCCTACGGCTCCTCGCTCCCACTTGCGATCCCACGCACACAAGTGCGTTTGTCTACTGCAGCAGCAGATCTCGCCCACCCCCACCCCGCTATTTTGCCATCATTTGCTAATCAAAGTGCGCAGCATCGCTCGACGCGTTTTTTAATCTCGATTTTGGCGAGCAATCCGTCTATAAAATTTCCTAAAAAGTGTAAAAGATTGTTCAGTAGGATCGGTTCTAATGGTATTTCGTAATATATAGTGGATTTGTGTGTGCTTGTTTCGTGTATCAACTTTATTCCTGGCCAGCATAATAGACGCAGCCCTAGCGCTCCGCGCGCCCCCTTGCGATCCCACGCACACAAGTGCGTTTGTCTACTGCAGCAGCATTGTTTCGACGCGTTTTTTAATCTAGATTTTAGCGAGCAATCCGTCTATAAAATTTCCTAAAAAGTGTAAAAGATGGTTCAGTAGGATCGGCTCTAATGGTATTTCGTAATATATAGTGGATTTGTGGGTGCTTGTTTCGTGTATCAACTTTATTCCTGGCCAGCATAATAGACGCAGCCCTAGCGCTCCGCGCGCCCCCTTGCGCTCCCACGCACACAAGTGCGTTTGTCTACTGCAGCAGCAGATCTCGCCCACCCCCACCCCGCTATTTTGCCATCATTTGCTAATCACAGTGCGCAGCATCGTTCGACGCGTTTTTTAATCTCGATTTTGGCGAGCAATCCGTCTATAAAATTTCCTAAAAAGTGTAAAATACTGTTCAGTAGGATCGGCTCTAATGGTATTTCGTACCCCCACCCCGCTATTTGCAGTGCTATTGCTTCCGTTCTACTACTCGCTCTATTTTGCAAGGTTTAGCAGGTTTTGTTGTTGTATTTAGTTTATCCGTGGGAAGCGTTGTAGAATAGTGGAAAGAAGCTCCAACCCGTGTGTGAAGTGAGCGTATAGTGGAGAGTAGTGCTATATCGTACAGTTAAAGTGCAGCGCCATCCCTCGTGCCTATATTGGAGAAAAGTGTGGTACAGTGAAGTGCAGGCAGCGTAGCGCCATCCCTCGTGCCTATATTGGAGAAAAGTGCAGTGCAGTGAAGTGAAGTGCAGGCAGCGTAGCGCCATCCCTCGTGCCTATCTTGGAGAAAAGTAACTTTTTTTTAAAGTGCAGTTAATTATTGGAGAAAAGTATCTTTTTTTTTAAAGTGCAATTAAGTCGAGGCAGCGTAGCGCCATCCCTCGTGCCTATTTTGGAGAAAAGTGTAGTGCAGTGAAGTGAAGGCAGCGTAGCGCCTTCCCTCGTGCCTATATTGGAGAAAAGTGTAGTGAAAGTGAAGTGCAGGCAGCGTAGCGTCATCCCTCGTGCCTAAATTGGAGACAAGTGCAGTGCAGTGAAGTGAAGTGCAGGCAGCGTAGCGTCATCCCTCGTGCCTATCTTGGAGAAAAGTGTAGTGAAAGTGAAGTGCAGGCAGCGTAGCGTCATCCCTCGTGCCTACATTGGAGACAAGTGCATTGCAGTGAAGTGAAGTGCAGGCAGCGTAGAGCCATCCCTCGTGCCTATCTTGGAGAGAAGTATCTTTTTTTTAAAGTGCAGTTAATTATTGGAGAAAAGTATATATATTTTTTATATATACGCTCCAGCTCGCTCGCTCCAGCTCGTCTTCTCCCCTTCCTCTCTGTGGGAGAGTCTGTTAATGCGCCCACCGCAAAAGCTGCTGTTGCTGTTCTGATGATGATGATGGCTCGCAGTCCAAGTAAGCCATATTTTGTGGAGGATGAAAAGGGACAGAGAAACGGCAGAGGAGGGAAATCGACATTGACGGCGACTGCCAGTGGTGGAAAGGGGAAGTGACACTGGGCTGGAACTGGGACTAGCAGAGGCGGACACGGATAAGGGACAAGAACAGGACATGGGATTGGGTACCCGAGGGCAGCAGAAACTTTAATTATCCCGTCTGTACTAGCGTAGGAAGGCCTACCGGCCCTTATGGCGATGGTCATTGCCATGGTCTCGGGCAACTCATCGCATAAATCATAAATATCGATTGCCAATTATCGTCCAATTGGCCATCCCACGCAAATATGCCCGTGGGAGAGTGGGCAACTCAAAGAGAGCGAAAGTCAGCAAAGAGTTAGAGGGACAGAAAGAGATGGCAGAAGTATGCTAAGACTGTGGTCCAGGAAGACAGGGATCCCGTTCTCATTAGAGTTTTACAACTATGTTTCAACTCTTCATTTATGTGTCTTTCAGATGCAGAGACAATTAGAGCGACATTTACCGTTCATTTGGTCATAAAAAACAGCGACAGAAAGAGATGCATAATGGGATTGATTGCGAAGTATCGTCCAATTGGCCATCCCACGCAAATATCCCCATGGGAGACTGGGCCACGCAAAGAGAGCGAATGTGAGCAATGGGTTGCAGAGACAGAAAGAGACAGCAGATATATAGATGGTAAGAGCAAATTTTAGCTTATATTGAATGTTTGTACAAGGTGTCGGATCCAGCTTTATTAGACTCCAGTGTTTTATGACTGTACCTTGCCCCTTTATTTATTTTTCAGATATAGAGACAATTGGAGCGAAATGTCCTATAAACAGCCATAGAAGGAGAAGCATAAAGAGAGCGAAGTTCAAATAAGGAAGACAGGAACCAAAACAAAACACAACACAAATACATCTACATGTATTTTAATACAAGGCAAGGCATTTTTGTTTTTACGAAATTCACTCAAAGAAGGCAGCAAAAACCCAGACACAGTGGGAGCCCCCGACAGAAATTAACCTTCAATTGAAGCGCTATCTGGTTTTACGACTGCGAATATTAGTCACAATTTGCGTTCCATTCGAATTCGTTGTAATTATTTACATCGAAGATTGCGTTGACGAGACAGACAGACAGCCAGACAGTCAGACTTTACTCCGAAGGCAAATACTTTGGCGGGGACTTACAATTTCCATGAAAAACGACAGCCGCCGTCAGGGACAGACGACGATGCCTTGAATGCCAAAGTGGCGACGGCGACAACCCGGTATACCTACGACAACTGTCAGTTTTGTGTATAATCTATATCTGTGGGATTGTTGTTTCTTGCAAATTGTTGTTTTTATATTTGGTTTTTGTTGTTTTTGCTTTGTTTGTATTGCCGCGTATTGTTATTGTTGTGGAGCGTCTGAAGCGCCTTATCGGCGGCGCCTCCAGAAAATATGTCACACGTACGCGTCAAATATTCTCAGAAAAAAAAATAAACCGCAAAATAAGCATGATATGCCGGCAGATATGAGGTGGCTTCGGCTTAGCAGTCCCAGCCCCCATGTTTCTGTATCTTTGCGATTATGCGAATAACTCCCAGGGTAACGGACTCCAGGGATAGAGTAATTTGAATAAGCTTTTGATTTGTGAATAATATGTTTAATTCAATATATATATTTTTTCTCTTTAATTACAGTTTACATGATAAGAAATCTGATTCTATAATGCAGGTAAAGACAAGGTCTATTTGTTTAATAGTAAATATTATTGAATAATTGATTTATACCTATAGAATATCAAGCGGATGATCATCAATAAATATCATGCCAAGACAGATGATACTTTAGAAGCTAGAACAGCTAAATAACTCCTACATTTTCCTGGTAAGTCTCATCCATATTTGAATTAGAGGTTTTTCCGTACATCAATTCCATCTATAGATGTCTTTAATGCAATCCTTAAATGGTTTCCCATGCACGGAACTATTATAAATTCGCAATAATTTGTTTTCGCCTCCAAAAAATTCCGATTTATGATGTTTTTTGTTCACCAAAACAAAACCATAAACTTGTTTGCTTCATTCCGAGAATGGGATTCCCCTCCGAATAGTAGAAAATGGAAATACATACTAAAGTAAATAAAAATGCATATAGAAAACCCAGGAAAAAAACCAGCCTTGCACACATACACAGGGATTTACATACATATTTGATTTTTATTGCATTTGATGAACATTTAATTTTGATTTAATTTTTAATGATGCCACAGCATGCACTGTCCTCCCTGCCTGTCTCTGGTATTATTATTATATTTTTGTATGGATTGAGATACGTGATAATCGGTGATTATTGCCCCATTACTGCGACCACCCACATGACAGCGGGTAGGGGCACCCAATAACAATGACAAACGATGTTCATATTATATTACATATACATACATATATATATTATTGTTTATATAGATTTATTTTTCGATGCTGTCTGGTGTATGTGTTTTCGCGGTTTCATATACACTTTCGGATCGGGTCGGCACGTTGTTGCATGGGGCTTAGTAACCATAGGAATGGTTGTTCAAAATACATGATCTAATATGAAAAACTCTTGTGTACCCAAAGATATTCCATTTAAATTCAATGAGCAACAGTTTCATGTATTTATTGGAAAAATTTAAGCCAAATCGGTTGGGTAAATCCTTTATGTTAATTTAATTGTGTATCTTTAGCTTCGTTTTTCGTTTTGTATTGCTATTTTGTTGCAGTTGCAGTTTGCCAATTGCCATGCAGCTTATTTTTATTTATTTAATTTTTTGTTTAAATTTTAATGATGCCCACAGATGCAGGCCTTTGAACCCCCTTCTATCAACCCCTCGCAATCACACGACAAATACACAAATTAACTCTAAAAATCATTGAATTTGCAGCTGCCTAGTGTGTTCCGTGTGTAATGACGATTGTTTAATGTAATTGTTTTGTTTATCAGTGTTGCAAATATCCCCCAATGACGCACGGTAGTGTCTACAGGGGGAAAAAGTGCCATAGGAGTTGCAGTGTTGCCTGGAAAATGCAGCAGTAATAAATTAAATCAGCAGTAAATAAAATCATTATGGGAATTCTAGCAGCAAAATCTCTTTAATGTATAATTTGATCTTAAACACCTTTACAAATGGTTTCTGCGAATTAATATATGCAATTAGTGGTCCAAATAATTCCTCAAAATCCATTTTGACCATCAATCTCTGGTCCCTGATCAATTCGTTCTAATGAAATTTCAATTCGACGAGATAGTATAAAATTCATAGAATTTCATGGAAATTTAGTGTGCTCTCCATCATCAATTAAATGGAAACCGAATGAGAATGAACGATTATACTGCGAAAAGAGTGAGTAAGTGAGTGGACAGCAGGGGACCTGCTCTTTCGATAAGATATGGGGGAACTATTCTTGTAAAATGAGTTTCACTTTTCCCTTAGATTTGTCGTGGGTTTTTTTTTGGATTTTGCTTTTGTTTTTTGCCTCGACCTTGTACTTTGCACAATTACTTAATAAATTTCACAATAACAATAGAAGCAGCAGCAACAGAAAGCGCTTATATTATAACGACAATGTCATCATTCGGTAGCACTTTACTCATCGATGGAACTGGGTACTGGTTGTTGCTTCGTTTCGTTTCGTTAATTATTTAGTTATTTATTAATAGACGCACGCCAAAAACATGCACAGGGCACGGGAGTAATTAAACGATTGTCAACAATACAATTTATTAATATTTTTATTATAAAAAATGCCATACAAAGTCAGGCTAAGTCGCATGCATGAAGCACACACAGAGATAGAGATTCCTATCAGCATTCAAGGGGAAACCTATTACATGGAATGCTGTTGATGCCTTCAAGATTTTCGTTTGGATTACAGCCACAAAATATTTTTGGCTTGCCAACCATGCCATAAAGCTTACTATATAAAGCCCAAACGATCACTTTGAATGATATATAGTTTCTGTTTAAACTTCCAACAAGTTGCAAGTTGCTGTTTTCGCTATGAAAGTTCCAGTTCTAACTTGGATGGCGCTGGCTCTGCTAATGGTGAGAGTTTTTTTTAGTGGGTTGTAGAGGTTAGTTCTGAGAGATTAAGCTGAATACCAACCGACCGATTTCTTGTTTCCAAATTCTCAAAATGTTTCGACTTATTCTTCAAATTCAAGAATATTTCTTCTATGCTGAAGAGGAGTCTGTAAATGTGAAAATTCAACCCGTTCTCTTTGGGAAAACCTCAAACCCAAAAACTTAGCCTCAACCTTATCGCATTCTAATAATATTCCTTAAAAAAAAAATTAGGGCATTGCTGCAGCTCAAGGGCCTGCTGAGGCTGCTCAGGCGGGTATGGGCATGGCCGCTGGAGCTGGCAGTCAAGTCGCTGCCCAAGGAGGTGGAGGGGCAGACGTAGGCGTGGGCATGGATGTGGGCGTCGGTGCTGGAGCTGGAGCCGGAGCTGGTGGCGGTGTCAAGGGAGGAGCTGGAGGCGTCGGTAGTGGTGGTGGTGGTGCCAAAGGCCGACGCTAGAGGCGGCGGCACTTCCGTTTGAAATACCATTTGGCTTTTGCTGTTTGTTTAGGGCACGCACTTGTGCGTCGCACTTGCCCCACAACACACTTGACTCCCTGCGGCACTCATAATATCTGTGGCACTCGTACTCACACTCACATTTCGAAGGCACTCATACTGCTATTCACATTTCGAGGCGCACTCATAACCCCTTTTCACACTCACCTTCTTACACACACACACAATCGGAGTGGCGCCAGTTTTCACGAAGGAAAGAGAGAGACTGGAGGCTCAGTGTCATAATTGATTTGAAATTGCGGTGAGTCGCGTCGCTGCCCCCCGCCACTGCTGCCTCATGTGTCTCCTCGTTGGCCCCAAATGCTGGCTGGCGGGAAGGTACACCTCACGATTCCCCGAATCGGCGGGCGCACTTCAAATGCCGCACGTTTGGCAGTTTAAATCCCCATTTAATGCCATTTTTATGAAATACTGGAATACACCTTCAAAATGTATCTATGTATTTATCGATTGTATCTACAGACAGTCGCTGTGCCGGCAGTGGCAGTTTCAAGGCAGCAACATAAATAGAAAACTCATCAGCAAATGTTAAAAATATCAACAGAATTTCCACATAAATCAAGTGATCAATAAATAAATAAAAATATGGCAAACACAGGTCCCCCCACCACCACCAGCAGCAACCAGCACTAGAACCCGCAATATTGTGAAATATAGCAAATAATAAATAAAATGAACAACAAAAAAAGCAAATAGAAAGAGGGAAAAAGTCATCGCAGTGGCCGTTGTATTATTTTTGCACAATCATCGAAAGCCTGATTGTTTACACTAGGCAGTGGGGGTGGCTGGCAGGCGGGTTTCTTTTTTTGGCGGAACGGAATGGTGATTTTTTTGATGAGCATAAATACTGGGAATACTCGGTACACGTAGGTTGTATGGTTTGTCTACGTTTCTGTGGGATTGTGGAAGAGATTTGCTGGGAATTGTTCGCAGTCTTTTTGGCAACATTTTAAATGATATTTCAGTTAATTTTTTATGAGTAAGAGGTTGGGCTTAAGTATGAATTATTCTAATGAAATGTCTTATGAATTATCCTTACGTTTTAATATCGGAAGGATTTTCTACCACTTGACCTACAAGTGCCGTCAACAGCTCTTGCACACCTGTCCCCCTGCTGCGTCTGAACTTGAGAGTGCAGAAAAAGTTTGCGTCGATTGTTGGTGTCCTTGGCATGAGCCATGGCTCATGCACCTACATATTCCCATCACCTGCCTGCCTGGCCACCGACATGCCTTAGATAAGATTTCTTTTACTGTCAGCTGTCGCCTGCACCCCCCTTTTTGAGCAGTTCCAGGTGCTGCCCCCTTTGGAGCTGTCTCCTGGAGTGATTATGCCAACATTGCTTGTGTTTCTGCACCTCTGCAGGCCCCGCGCCTTTCTACTTCGCATGAACTTGAAACGAGTCACGTGCGAGGCGCCAATGTGGCGATATAATTGCCAATATAATCGCTGCCGCTCACTGATAAACATTTCGTGCATTACGTACGTGGTACAGTGGGGCTAAAAACAGAAAGCAAAGACTAGTCAAAGGCTTTCAATGACATGGAAAAATATGCAATTTTGCATAATTTATGGAATTAAAGAAAAACGTTTGATCTTCTCATTACTGTTACATTCATTACCATTTTCATTCATATTGTTAGGACAACTTCGTTCCACTGTCCCCACAGTGTTTGTGGAACTCGCGTGTGTGTGGTCTCTGAACTCCGGACTGTGGCGGCTTATGTTTATTTGCAGTTGGAATATTGCAGCAGTTTTGCCAGGTGCCTGCCTGCCCCATTTATGGCCCTGTTCTGCGAACCACCATCCATTCGACACTCGAACCTCCAGTCCCGCGTGTAATTCCAGTGGCATATGGCCATTAAAATTGATCAACTGCTAAGATTTGCAGTGGCAGCAGAGAGACAGAGACTCGCCCGTCGCTCCTTTGCTAGCACTCAATGTTCCCACAATTTGCAATTGGCGCTTGATTTATGCACGTTTCCTATTTATGCAAATTGAATTTTCATGAGATATATAGAAGATACATATGTTTGCCTGCCTATGGCTATACGTTGTACAGGAGACATTATCCAGTCGAGCCCTCCATGCGGTCATAAGATACGAGTGAGTATTCCACACTTTCAGTGCCGCTGCTCGTAAATCATTCAGAAATCGCATTCACGTGAGGCTCACTGAGTACTCACATGTGGCGGCGGGCCACCTTATCGCTACTCATGACCCATATACATATATGCATATATTATATAACATCTATACACATGTATGTATATAGTTCTGTATGAAAAGTCATTAGCTTTTGTCTAATCTTTTGGCTCTGGCGCCTCTGGCCCACAAAAATGCGCACTAGAAACATTAGGAAATTGCGTTTTGCACCTACATAAGCCACGCAATAATAATACCCATCAGGAAACAGACTAAACTCATGGAAAATCCCTTCAACTCAATAAAATGATAACTGCAAATATTTTCAAACCAATTCCCAAATTGAATGCCAAATATTAGCATTTGCTTAATTAGTTTTCAACTAATTAACAACCTAAATGACTTGAGCATACTGAAAAGATACAGACAGAGAGGTGGCAGGAACTACCAATGGGGGAGGGGGAATGGCAGGCACTGGGCGTTGCAGGAAATGCGGTGGGTTTGTTTGGAAATTGCATTAGCTGCACGCGTGCACTTTGGCAAATGAAAACAGATGTGCGAAAAGTGTGCAGCATTCATGGATAAATGCTAAAATTACGTGGAAAATTCTGTTGTTATTGCTTGTTGAATGTAGAATTCTGGGGAACAAAATCTCAAAGGAAAGTCTTAAACTTGTTTAATTCCCACTCATTGCCAATCATTCATGACTATTTCTAAAAACATTCGTTACAACATTCATTGATTATGTGATTTCTACGATCCCAAGTGAACTCTTGAGTATTTTTTGTTTGTCTAAGTCCCTCTTGTCATACTAATCGAGTGTAAACATGTCTATAGATATGAGTGATCATTAAATAAACATGTTTTAATTATACATATTTACAGTGCATAGTTCAGGATAGTTCAGAAAAGTTGTCTTATTGCCATATGCATCCAAAGGTAGGGTTGGAATATGCGCCATTAGGAATTACGCATTCGATTCGCTAATTGCCACACAGTGTACTTATATATAGACATCCAAAGCTGCAGAAACTGCGTACTATTTTGGATGGGCAGGAGGTGTATGTCTGACTATGCCCATGCTCCTTCCCCTGCTACTGGTTAAACGTTAAAATGTGCATCAATGCGGCCACAACACTCTCAGCACACACGACTATCGATAATGATTTGTGCGCTCTCTCTTTTGTGTGTGGCGGCTGTAAAACTACGCAATTGATGAGTTGAGTGTAAATGGGAACGTAAACGACGTCGTCATCATTATACATACATAGAACGCGGGGCCCATACGCTATTTGTATCTGTCAGATACTCTCGTACTCGCTCGCTACTTGATTTATGAACTGCAAATGCGACAATTACTGTTACTTTCGCTGTGTGTATTTTTGCTTGTTCGGTTTTTTGCACAATTGAGTTCGCAAATCGTTTAAATATCTGTCATTGCCGCTTGCATAATTAATAAGTAAAATGCAAATTCTCGAGTATCTGAAATCGAGAATAAACCTTTCGAAAAATCTATATCTGTGTATCATCTCAAGCAGCATTCGGATTCAGTATCTTTAATTACGAAATTCAATTTCTGCCAATGGATAAAAGGCTGCAAAGAAGCGGGTCCATTGATGTTGAAAGGGAAATACTCGAAAGATCTAATTGTGAAATTGTGTTAGAAATTGATTTTTTGAGTGTTGTAAGACTAGGGCATACCCTTTACTCTTCTTGCAATGAGAGGAAGTGTTTGGATAAATTAATGTTTTTCCTTTTCTGTCTGTAAAAAGGAATTATTTTTGTAAAAAGAAGATACACTTTTTACGTTACCAAAATATAGATTCTATATTTTGAAAAAGTAATACAGTTCTATTGATTTTTAATAATAATGAAGACAATTGTTTAATGGAAGACTCTACCAAGCGGCATATGTATACCTTCAGAATTGTAGGTTCCACATCATTTTTAGAAGGTACTGATTTATGGCTGCAATTTTTTATGAATGATAATTATCAGAGGAATCCCGATCGTGCTGTTACATCTTTCCTCTCAAGTACAGTATACCCCAACATATTCCATGTGATCAGCACGAGGTACACTTTACAGAATATTTACAGAAGACAGATTGGTCTCAAGTCTAGACTCCACTCGAAGACGACGGACTCGCGATGCGGCCGAGCGATGCCAATTAACATTACAGCTACGACTGGTATATATAGAAACTTCAATTTGTGTGCAATTGAGGAACGGAACGGATGCGCGGCTTTGGCTTTTGCTTTTGCCTTTTGCGACTTTATAAATAGACCTCTCAATATTTATTTTTGGCCACTCTTTAGCGTATCGTATCGTTGTACTCTATGTACATTCGTACACGTCCCGCCCGTCGAATGCTTTGATGTATATTTTTAGGCAACCAAATGCTTGAAATCATATTCAAAGCTAAGTGGTTGTTTGTATTTGTTAATAACTTAAACAATAGACAGCACACGAGCAGCCACAGCAGCAGCAGCAGCCCTGCTCGGATTTGGATACGGGGATTTAAGAATGCGAAACGATCGAAAAACTTTGAAATGTTGGTATGGTCTCATTGAAGTTTCAATGCTTCCGATAGGCTTTGACAACTCTCGAAACAGCAAATTGGTTTTATTATTATAACTGGCAGATTATTTATAATTTGTTTATAAACATTTCAGATTGCCAGTTAATGAATGCTCGCGAGTCAATCATTTTGTTTGCCTTTTTATGAAATTATTGTGTAGCTCATTCGTTTCATTTGGAGTCTATTTCATCATGGGGCTGCTGTGTTAGATGGTTTTATTGGCATAATCCATTCAGAGACTATTCATTTTGTTTACTTGGGCATGATTACAATTTAATTCCGAATTATTTCTTGGCGTTTCTTACACCTTCTTTATATTACTTGACTCTGATACTCTTAAATGAACGTGCAAAAAAGTACTTTAAGTAGTTATAAAAAATTATAGCACTAACATAAAAGATTTTCTATTTTAAACCTTTTGAGAGATATCGCGACTGAATACCACTCCAATTAATGAATCAATAGAAACCAACTCCTTTTATCGTATTAAATTTTTGACAACTTGTTTAACAAAATATTTTGCACGAAATTAGCCAAAAACTTTAATTAAACGAAGGTGACAAAATGGAAACGCGCCCCTGGGAATTTCACAAGTTGATTATCAGTCGGGCGAAATCGTCGAAATGTGAAATGTATTCATTAGTTCTTCTGTCGAAAAATTCCATGAACACACAGACGCGTGCCCGAGTCACGCACTCAAGACGGGTAGGAGGTGGGGTTCTGCGAGAAGGTCTACGACTTAGATGGGCTTCAGAACCTAAACAGAGCTTCCCTCGAAGCGCATGATCATCATCATGAGAGCGCGAGCACACGCCGTCGAAAAAGTTCCTTCACCTTTAATTTAAGTTTCATGTTTTAGATCGTGGATCGCGTTACTCGGTGGATTTTCAATGTCAGAAGACCAAATAGATAAGGGCGGACGGTGGCGTTGATAAGGGGCGGGGTCTCAGGGACTGG